ACAAAATCAAACTCAAAATAGAAACTCTTTACTCAGTCAACAGAGGAAAATCTATACTGTGGAAATCTGAAGTAAAGAAAACAAAATAAACAAAGCATTAGTACTTCTTAAAACTTCAAAATGTGACTTTCTTAAATGGAAACACACATTAGTTCATTCTCATTTGAAGACTACATTAGAAACTGAGATCTATGAAGAACAGACATGACATCCAGTAAATCATGAACTCTTTATAGAAACTCTAGAGGTCCTTATGGGGACCAGCCTAGTAAGAGCTGGTAGGTTAGAGGTCATGTAGTCGGTTCCTGGATCAACAACAACAACATTCATATGTAATGTTTTAAGGCTTACAGATTACTTAGCCTATAGTATCTTATTTGATGCTCATAATAACCATTTGAGGTAACTATTATATGTAACTTGCCTGTAGTCATAATAACTAGTAAGTGTTCAAGAAGGGATTTAGATCCAGTTCTCTCCTGATTCAAAGTCCAGTACTATACCATGCTTGTGTGCCCTTTACTCTCCGTTAAAAAACAAATAAACGAAAAAAGAAGAAAAAACACTTTCTTTTTTTGAATTTTGTTTCCTAGAGCTACAGGACAGTTTTTTTTTTTTTTTACTAGATCAGATGATTTCTGAGGTCCTCCCTTTTCCACTCTGAAGTTATAACTGCTTTGGTGGCTTCTATCTCATTTTCTATTTCTTTCTGCCATCTAGTGGCATAACATAAAACTACAGTGCACCATAAAGGAGGAGGAGGAGCAACAGTAGTTAACTCATGATTTAGAGCCAGGAGGGATCTTTGGTAAGGAAATACAGGAAGCAAACAGCAACATAGTTGGAAACATTTGGGTAAAGATCAGAAGAACAGAATCAGTTTGGTGACAGGAGTATGTATACCACAGACCACCTGAATAGAAAGAGGAAATAGATCAGGGGTTCTGGAAACATCACATTCTTGGTGTGGTGGGTAATTTTAGTTATCCAGACACAATTAGAGCTATCTATTCGCCAGAAGTGGAGTGGCTAATAACTTGTTGATTTATCTTAATGATAATTTCAGCTTTCAAAAGGTAGAGAAACCTTAATCTGATTCTCATTATCAGTGAAGTACTTGGTGATTGGGGGTGGATATGATAGGGATATTGGACAGTGATCGTACCCTCCTTAGAGTTTATGAGAGAGGAGGTAAACCAGGCATGGTCAGACTCTACCCTTGATTGGAGAAAACTGATTTCCAAGGGTTCAGAGATGATATAGGGAAGATGTCATGGACTGAAATTCTACAAGGGATATTGTAATAGGAGGGTGTTTGGAAGCCCTCAAGAATGAAATTCTGAAGAAAGAAAGGAAAACAGTTCTGAAGAAGAAAAATGAGAATTGTTTGAAGAGACCAATGTGTATGCACAGACAATTCCCCAACAAACTTAGATTTCACTTAATTATTTATTTATTGTTGCATTTCAATAGTTTTGTTGAAAGGTCAGTGTCTTAGTACCAGAACATAATGGTACTTTGTTAGGTTACTTCAGCAAACAAGTTTGTATTGATGAATTACAAAGGAAATTCTTGAATGAATCAGGTGTTTAGGAGTATGTGAAGAGTGCATCCACAAAATGAAGCATAAGACTATGAGACATACTGTGGTTCTTTGGTTTATCTTTAAAGGGAAGTTTTGTTGTTGTTGTTTTTTTTTAACCCACAAGCATGATGTTAAAGGGAAATTTGAACTAGTTTTAGCTATTGTGGAAATTAAGTTATATATTGCACTGATTTAACTATATGCTTTCCCAGCCCTGTATGTCAGTTTAGATTCATTAACCTACAACTAGCCTTATACCACATAATTAGTCAATTAAATTTCTGTTTACTTGAATCTGGATAGACAACTCACATTAGCCTCTCTGAGTTGAACTGTTATAGGAGCATTATGACAGTATTGCTTTAAAATACAAAGCTCTATACTAATGGTCCAGTTTCATGCCAACAGTAACCCTTATTTAAAAGCTCTAGAGTGTTAGCATTAGCATATATTGCTTTAGAAGGGCACAGCTGAGGTTTCAGATTAGCAGTCTATGAGAGTACAATAGAAATTAACTTTTTTCTAAGGGGCTAGAAATTGAGATAAAAATCATTCTGTGTAAAACTTTGCCGCATCACTTGTGACGTAGGATAATGTTGAAGATCACTTAAATTTAACATGTCTGTCTACAACTTTAATACAATTTTATAATCAAATTTAAGTGAAAAATATGCTAAACAAAAATAAATCCTTAGAATTATTGGATTATCTAGTTGTATAAGGCTTTAACAAGATTGTTTATACTGCCTCAAAGACTAGTAACCCTGACTAAAGTGCATCATACTATTTTTCTGAAGTTGATCTGTTTTAATGTGAACTTATATCCCAATTCAAATAACATCAGTTAAAGTCAATTACACCTTGCCAATCATTACTACCTATAATAAGTATACTAATCCAGATACTACTACACTGGATCAATATTAATTGTCAATCTACAGTATAGTCTCCCATCCATATTCCACATTAGGGTTTCACATTTTAACTTTTAGTTTTTACAAACATACTTCAAAGAAGGTCATAATTTAGTCCTGAACACATTTCCAGTTGCAGCACATATAATCAGTTTCCAGAAACATCAGTGCTAACCTAGTTGCTATGTTTCAGACTTCACAGCTTAAATGTGTCCAAATATTGGAGTCCACAATTATGATGTGAAGTAAGCCTTCAAAATAGTTGAATTTCTTTACCATAAGAGTCCTATTAAGACCCAGTTTCAGGGATTGTTGGAAAATGAGTGATTTTGTAATAACTATGCTTCAACTGATATGCAGTATGGCCAGACACAATCCACTTCAACTTCTGAACATTTGGTTTAGAACTCTTGTTTGATGAGTATTCAGTTAGGCACATTGCTACAAGTTTCTGCCAGAAGGTCAAATCTCTGCAATTTATCTTGGAATGTTTCTGAAGACATTCTACTTCTTCTGTCAATTCTATAAATTTCTGTGCTTGACTCTTCAGTACAATTATAGACAATGCCAATACAGAAGGCTTTGCTTTAGAAAACAATCCTACAGTGGCATACCTTAAACTGAGCTTCTAGTCTTTCAAAACTCAGGTTCTTTCTCCTTTCAGATGGTAAGTTTTCATGAATGAATGAATAATAGAGCTGTAGAAACTGAAAGGCAGTTTTGACTTTCCAACAAAACTTCTCTAATACAATCTTTTCTGTTTTCATCAGTTCAGAATTCGTATTGTCTTATTCAGATCAAATCAGTGGCTAATAGGACATTTCTCTGAAATCTGTTGATTTCACAGCCAGAGAGAAGCAACTTAATTCCACATATTCAAGGTGTTTGGACTATACCTTCATTTTGGATAAAAAACTGTCCAGTAAATTCACAGCTAGAGAAAAAGCCTCTGTGTCAAAACCAAAGAACTGAGTTAGGCTAAGAAGGTCTTTCACTTCAAAGTCCCTCAGTCTAGCAGTCATGGGAAGGCCATTATGAGCAGATTCAATTAGTCTCAAGCCACAGACCTTCTGTTCCAACAGAACATTCAGCTGGTGCAGTGGTTTCTGAGCTTCAGTTGTTACCAGTGCCTTTATCTTCTTGAGCTCCTCTCGGCAGCTTTCTTGGTAGCAAGCCTTCCCCTCATCCCCACCCAGGGACTACCCTCTCCTCATCCTGAAAAATTAGTCCAAATGTCCCGGACGATGCAGGAAGTATATGAGGGAGAGGAGAGGTGTTTGGGGGCCAGGGGAAGATGATGGAGGGGGTTTATGGGGCAGTGGCTCCAGCAAGCTGAGAATGATGCCATTCCTAGAGCACCAAGCTCTGAGAACAAACTTAGATTTTAAAATGACATATACAGTTGATGGAAGTAAGGACAAGTAACAGGATAACTATAAGAGCATGATGTAGTTCTGTAAAAAACAGTATCAGGAATGCTAAAGCTTGGAATGGATTGAGTCAGGCTTAATGTAAGAAAGTAGGTATCAAGGGAAATATGAAGACTGGAGAAGGGATAGGACTCTTTTCTTGGGGGTAGATGTTAAGATAACTCATGAGAATAGAAGGCAAAAAACTCATAATGTGGGTTTTTTTTTTTGACTTTTGTTTTCTCTGCCAATGACCTTTGGGATAGAAAATGACAGAAAAAAATGTACAAAGAGAGGTAATACCAAGATAAGTTAATAGCTACTAAAAGAGCATCTAGTTGTCCTAGAAGAATTCAGGGCTAGGGTACAATAATTATATACTTTGGTGCTTAAAGAACTAGTAAATGTGATTGCTGAGTCGCTGTCAGTTATATTTACAAAAATTAGAGAATGAGAGATTTTTTAAAAGGAAAGTGAATAGAGTCTTCAGACTATAGGACAATAAATCAATCAATTGTTATCAAGCACTTATGTACCATGCATAGTGCAAAGCTCTGACTATATAATAACAAAAAACCTCTGTCCCTTGGACAGCAAGGAGATCAAATCAAATACATAAAGAAATGAATTCGGACTATTCATTGGAAGGACAAATACTGTAGTTGAAGCTTGAATATTTTGGCCCCATAATGAAAAGACAGGACTCATTGGAAAATACCCTGATGTTGGGAAAGATTGAAGGCAAAAGGAGAAAGGGGGTGGCAGAGGATGAAATGGATAGATAGTGTCATGAAAGCAATGAACGTGAGCTTGGACAGACATAAGGAGATAGTGGAGGATAAAAGGTCCTGGTGTCCATGGGGTCATGAAGAGTTGGACATGGCTGAAAGACTGAACAACAACATATCTGAATATGAATCTAAGTAGTGGGATGCTCTGTATTATGTGTGGCAGGTTGACTTGTATTATGGCTTATGCCTAGGAAATCTTGCCTTATTAAATTCACAGTGATGGAATTAGACTTAATGCCAGAGATTATTTCCAGGATGTACGTGCTTTACTTAGGTAAAGGGTTTTTTTTTTTTGTTTTACCTTTCTTCCAGCTATGTATCCTCCAGCTGCTCCAAAGCTCTTGGTGAACGTTCCCATGAGCACATCAACATCATAAGGATCCATTCCAAAGTAATCCACGACCCCCTGGCCTCTTGGGCCTAAACTTCCAATACTGTGAGCTTCATCCAAGTAGAGGTATGCTTTGTACTTCTTCTTTAAGGCAATGATCTCAGGCAGGCGCACAATGGAACCTTCCATGCTAGATTATGGAGAGAAATGCTAATATTGTAATTTATTCTCTGAAAAACTTTTCTTTCTTTTCCTTTTTAAATACAGATATGACAATTAGCTTCTACCCTCTATTAAAGATAGGTACTTACCATTTGTTTCCTCTCAGATACGTTTTAAAAGCATAAATTAAAATTTTTGCAGCTAGGAAAGAGTCTAAGTGTTTTGAAAATGAAGGCTATGCCTCTCTGCCACATTTCCTGAAGAACTAAAATAAATTATCTGTTGATTTGGCATATTGAGTTTTGGTCAAAGTGAGGAAAGGATCTCACTGTGTACTTTAATTTTAATTGTTAAGATGTTAAAAATAACATTCCTTTTAATGATGGAATTGGTGTAGTCATGTAATGATCCACTGACTGATGATAGATCCATAAATGCTTATTGACCAATTAGACCCTATCAATCCCCTCTTTCGAGTTGATGAAAGGTGAAGGTTACAGTGACAAAACCATAAAAGAACTTTATTTGAAGCTATGATGAATTAAACATAACAAAGTAACCATGCTTATAGAGCAAGATTCAGTATTTCATTGTGGTAATTGGTTTATTTCATATGTCTAATAGTTTCCTGTAGATGGAAACTTCTTTTTTATCCCCAGTCTTATGTTTCTTTCTATTTTAACTTATAAGCTTCTTCTCCTTTTGGAATTAGCAGAATATAAATCTTATTAAAGTAAATTTATGTAGTAGCTAACTTCTTGGAATTTTAAGCTTTTAATAAGTTCTCAGAATACCTTGATTGCAATATCTTTGTGCACAGTTTTGATTGCATTAAATGATTATTTCAATTAAAAAAATAGTTAAATAAGCCAGTTAGGTCAAACTGCCAATTTTAATGTTTTCTTTCCTTCTGCTGAATTTAACTATAAATAAAACTAAACTAATGATTTTATTTTTTTCCACTTTAAACACTTAAGTGACAGGTCAGTTTAGATAGTTAAACAGTAAAATTGGTTGGACATGTATCCTTAGTTTAATAGGTGCTAGATAAAGAATAAAATTTTAAGAAGACAAAATAATCTTTTCACAGGCACATTTGTGTGTATATGTGTGTGTGTGTGTGTGTGTGTGTGTGTGTGTGTGTGTGTGTGTGTGTAGGCCATGATTTGAGTTACATTAAGGCTGGTTAAAGTTTTATTCCTTTAGCTTCAGTACTTTAATATTTGAAGTTGAGTTACATTTAGAAATATGCTTTACATTTGTTACTTATTAAACATATTTTTCCTTTGAAATGGAAGTCCTCTCCCATCCGTCTCAACATTATTGGAAGAAATACTGTTTAATACAGATAGTTCTACCAGCTAATTTAAAGCAACATTCAAGGCCTTGAAAGATACTTGAATTAATAATATAGTGAATATATGTATATGATGTATATTCACATATACATACATATATGTGTGCTTATATATTTATGTACTATTAGATAACATATTAACGAAGAATATAAATTTCTTTTTGAAATCTCCTTTTTCTCTGCTTCTTACACCTAATCTGAGTTACTAAATGGCAGCAATAGACAAATGCTATTGTTTGCCAACTTAAGTGGCAGAAAAATCTTCCTTGTGGGCTCAAATCATATCCTGAGATAAGAAAGGAAAGAATAGCTGCTACCATTTTAAAATTAAGTAACTACTGCCCTTTTTGTTTTCTTGTTCTTTTATGTTTTCACTTATTGCAACTGGAATGATATAGGGCTTGACATTTGGAGTTCAGAAAATCTCAACTACTGTTTTTTTTGGGAGAGAAATCTCAGGCATTTTTGGAGTAAATAACATCTCCTTGATATAAGACTTAACTATCTTTGGAAGAACTGAATCTTCTAGGATTAGGCAAATGATCATCAAATTATTTCTTGAGTATCAATGGGATGAAAGCTATGGCTGTAATTTTGCTACCGCAAGTCCCGGATCATTTGGAAAATTCTCCTTTGTTATTGATTTGTATAACTAGTATACATATTCCATAACTGGAAATAAACCAAAAACAATTTGGATATTTCAGAGTGATCATAGAAACAGTATAAAACTCAGTTCATTTCATGTTGACTTATAATTATGTATGTTATTATGAATTTTTTCTTTAGGAAAAAATTCAGGTTGTGTCAATGTAGTGTTTATTGCATTTTAGTTAAAGAAATCAAATGCCATCACATGTGCCGTGTTGTACAAGTAGACCTAGTTTATTATGGTTTGTTTTCTTTAGTAGATAATTGAAATACTGTTAGGAAGTCTCTGTGATCCTACTACCTCGGCCTTTATATGAATCAGGGTCAGGATGCATTTGTAGTTTCTTGGCTTTGATCAATACTGTCCAGAGACCTTGTGCTGACCACACCCAGCCGGTAATGTAAGAGAAGGCACTGAGAAAGAAAATGGCCTCTGCCCTGGCATTGGGATTTCCTTTTAGGGTCACTTGCTTACACATGCTGCTTGTTTTGACTAATATGATCTTGTAGGCTTTTTATCATGCTTAGTTGAATCGAGATGATAGTTGTAAAGCACTTAGCACAATGCCCATTGGATATTTATTCCCTTCCTCCTTTCGCCTATGTTATTTACCTGACTGCATCAGTTAACTTTCCTGAAATTCACTTCGTTCTTAGTTGACTGACAATGGACTTGACCTTTGTGTGCCTGACCTATGATAATGCCCTGATCTTTCTAGGCCCTTCTCTTCCTCTAGTGTTCAACTCCTTTCTAGTCTAATTTTTAGTGTCTTCCAGGTGCTTCATAGCCAGTTGAGGTCTGGTCATGACTTCTTGTATTTTAACTCATCCTGTTGGGGCTTATATACTTAGCATGTATTATTATACAGTATGGTTATCAATTTTCTGTGATATTCACCATTAGACTATAAGCTCCATGAGAGAACAGATTGTGTTTTATGTACACTTTGTATCTTCTCCATTGCTTTGTACAGAGTAGGTGCTCAGTAGACATTTAATTGAATTAAGCACTAGTGCAAAATACATTATTAATTTTGGCATTTAACAATTTAGCAAATTTAAAAAAATATTATTAACAGCCAGTATGTGCCAAGCACTATGCTAAATTTCATAAAAAGAAATGACAGAATCTCTGCCCTTAAGGAGCTTTTAATCTACTGAGACATACCATGATACATCCTCAAATAAATATGATACGAAGTAAAATGTGATGAGGATAAAAGAGGTCCAGAAAAATGCTGAGAAGATCAGGGAGGACTTTACAGAAGAGGTGTGAGCTGAGATGGACCTTGAAGGAAGAGGATTTCATAAAGTACAGTTTAGGTGGAAACATACTGTAGGTCTGGTTTATGACCTTTGCAAATATACAGAGATGGGAGAATGCAGGATGATCTCAAAGAATAGGTAATAAAAAGCCTTAAATACCAGGCTAACAAATTTATTTTTTAATCTAGGAAGCAGGGTGAATGTTTTTGAGTAGGAAATGATAGGGTCAAACCTGTTCATTAGGAAGATTATTTTTCTAATTATATAAATAATAGACTGGCATTGGGGAGATGTTGGAGGCAGAGATATCAGTTAGGAGGTTATTACAGAAGACCATAAAATAGGTCATGAAGCACTGAACTAGGGTGATGGTAGTATAAGACAATGAAATATGAGATCATTAAGGGCAGGGATAATTTGGAGTATTTTTATTTTTGCATCCTCATTGTTTCACATAAGCCAAGTCAAGTCAAACATGATATAGCATATGTAAGTAACATGACATCTTGCATTGATAGGATATATCTGTGAATGGAGACAGTACCAAACATGATATCATCTAACTAGTCTATGATAAGGCTATCATCTCCATTGTTTTAAACACTATATGTCTGTTAATGAAACCTGTGATTGAATTAACTGTTTTTTTTTTAATATGAATTACTATTAAGTTAGACCTCTCATCCTGGACTTGGAAGTTAATTTTTAGCTTAAATGTAGAATTTTATATTTATCCTTTTTAAATTTCAATGTAATACAGTGGAAAAGAAAGTGCTGACTTTGTAGTCTTAAGACCTAGGTTCAGGGGGCAGTGAGGTGGCACAGTGGATGGAGCACCGGCCCTGGATTCAGGAGGACCTGAGTTCAAATCCGGCCTCAGACACATAACACTTATTAGCTGTGTGACCCTGGGCAAGTCACTTAACCCAATTGCCTAGGGTCACCACCACTACCACCACCACCACCAAAAAAAAAAAAAGACCTAGGTTAAAATTCTACCTCCACCACTTATTGTATAACCTTGGGCAAGTCACTTAACCTCTCTGGGTCTCATTTTCCTCCTTTGTTAGTGAGAGGTCTGGACTAGATAACTTCTTGCATTTCTTCCAGCTTTCAATCTATGATGCAAGACCTTTTTTGAATCTTGATTTTGTCTTCCAGTGTAATAATTCTATCTTGTAGCTTTGTGGCATCCATAAATTCAGTGAATATGCCTGTCATCATGTGTTATGAGAGGTGGCCTGCCATTACATAGAGAGCTGGCCTTGAAAACCAAAAAGACATAGTTTTAAGTCCCAACTCTTAACACATACTGGCTTTGTGATCTGAGCAAGTCATTTAAACTGTCAAGGCTCTTAGCAGTTCTCTAAGACTATAAGTTCAGAGAAGGCTCTGATATGCATTATTAGAAGGCATTTCTTCATCTAGGAGTTCTTGATACTAATGAAATCTCAAGTCTAGTACCTATCCCTAACTTATAGAATGATAATCTATTGATTAAAAAATGTTATACAGAGCAGTAACAAGAAATGAATCCTGTGGCATACTACTAGAAAATTTTTTACATGATGACATAAATATATTAATTAAGACCATTTATGGTCATCATACAGCTAGGATTTCAGTAAAATGGATCCAACCTACATTTCTTTTATCTTCTTGAAAAGGATATCATGACTTTATCATGTGCCTTGCAGAAATCCATATTTAAATGTATATACATATATGTCTAGAATATTTTCTTGATTTAAAAGTCTAATAACCATTCATAAAAAGGAAATGAGATAGGTCTAGTATTACTCCTAATTTTTTGTGACTACTTTGTGAACCCTTGCTGACTCATAGGGACTACTACTTCCCTTTTTAGATGCTCACAAACTTCTCAGTTTTTATCACACAGCTGTGTTTTCTTTGCATATGCACATATTAGTAATTTTTTCATGTTTATTTCCATTAGAATGTAGCACATAGATAGGAGAAGAGAAGACTTAGCTGTTGGGATACCAGTGTTATTTTCTAGTCCATAAAGAACTTTGGGTAGAAGAGGGATTAGACATTTTCCTGGTTTCCTCTGTGTCTCTGTACAGTTAATTGCATTTACAAAGTTACTGTAGATTCTCTTTTAATCATCTATTCATAATTGTCATAAATTTAAGTAGACCACTTTTCTCTGCTAGTGTTTGGAAAGCTGTGATCCTCCAATTTTTTGCCATACTTCTCTTTTGAGTGTTACAGCTGGCTATGTTATGTTTGTCACATATCAAAGGTATAATACAAGGTGTAGTGTGCATTTAGCAAATAAAAGTCCTGTATTCACTTTCCTTTTCTAAGTGAATGCCATTTTCTTTTTGTTCATGGCATATTGATCCCTTTTAAATACAGTAACTACTTAGTGACACTAAAATAGTTTTATATAAGTAGGGTCCAAGAATCATCAGTGACTTGACACTTGAGTTCTGAATAGCCCTTAACCTTCTCTTGACTCTTTTTCTGCTGTTGACTACTTTTGTAATGGATCTTGGATCAGTGATTTTGGAAGGAACAGAAAAGAGAAGCAAATCATGATATTGAAACTCTGAAAGCAGCCCAATGATACTGCCTGTGTGGATGTCCACAAATTACATACCAACAAAATTTTTGAAAATGAAAATTCCCACATTAATATTTTTTTTTTAGGCAATTGGGGTTAAGTGACTTGCTCAGGATCACACAGCTAGTAAGTGTCAAGTGTTTGGTTTGAGGCCAGATTTGAGCTCAGGTCCTCCAGACTTCAGGGCCAGTGTTCTATCCACTGTTCTACCTAACTGCCTCCCATCATTGTTAAGAAAAATCAACTGGAGATTATTTCACTCTATGTTGAATTATGGCAATGATTAGGAGACAGTCACACAACATCATAGGATTATACAATGATTGAGTTGGAAGCAAAGATAATCTAGCCTTCCCCTTTCATTTTAAAGATGAAGAAACCAAAGTTCAGGGACATTTTGGGGTGATGATTCTTGTCTTGGAAAGTTTCATTGATTTGAAAGAAAAAAAAAAGAAAGAAAAATAATTTTGAACTGAAAAAGTCCCTGAAAGCTGTATTCCAGAGCTCTTTGAAAAGAGGGCATGAGAAAAGTGAATATATAAAACACAGATTAAATTACAAATATTAGAGATGTTTAAACTTGAAATCTGGTGGTTTCTCGATTTCTGCAAGAAATCCATAACTTTTAAGCATGTATTGCTGATACTGTGGCAGAACAGAGATTGGACTTATGAAATGAACAAAATCCAGCCTTTGCAGTGGTTTCTGTAGGCTGGGTAACTGACAAGAATATTTGACAGTAAAATGCTGGTGGTCCTCTTAATTTAAGCCATGATCAAAGTTTAAAACTTAACTTTCCTTTAGTTTTGCCAAGTTGTGTTTATTTGCAGTTTGGTTCTGTTTATTCTGCTTAAAAGGAGATGTCCAGCCTGCTCTGGCTCAGCTGATCAGCTTTTAAGCTGTTCCAATCCTGAATGACAGGTGTTTAGATAAGAGTTGGTTTGTTCTCTCGCCCTAGCTTTATGGTGCGCTGCAGCTGGTACAAATTACACAGGAGGAAAAATGAGGCTTGAAGTTATGACAGCATAAAGTCAATATGACATTATTATTTTTTTTTTAAAGTAGCAAGTTCAGGGCCAATGAGTAGTTAATTATTCTGGTGTACTCTCGTAGTTTTTATGCATAGGACACACTCCTAGTTGTTGCCTTGCTTATACTCTGATAAGTCTTAAATAAAATCAGTAACTGACAATAAACTGTAAATGCCAAGTTAACAACTTTGTGGTAGTATGTGAAACAGCCAGACCTCCTGGATCAGGTATAGGGAGGGTATATATGGGGAGTTTGACAAGGCCTTGACCAGCAGCCAGGATAATAAATGCTGTGGTCCGTTGTTTTTTTTTTAAAGAAAAGCAAATTTTAAAATTTCAGTTTGTGAAAATGTATTTGTTGACAGGAAACATACTTCTTTCCTTTTTTCTTGTTATTATTGTTTTGGCCAAAATTATGTTACTTAAGGGGAAAGTTTAGATTAAAGAGAAAAAATGCTGCCTCTGCTTTTCTTGCCTTATTTGAAGCAATGTTATCATTTTTCAGATGCAGGAATTACCATTTCGTTCAGTTTTTCTCACTTTTGTATTATTACCCCACAGGAATCTCCTTTCTAATTACTCAAGATTAGGATTCATTAAAACTTAACTTAGGAAAAATTCTGCTGAGCTAACATTTTCTGCATATAGAGTAAGATAGCAAAGGTAGTACTTTGGGGAATCTTCTTCCTCCCTTAGTAAAATAAATATAAAAATGTTGGTTGGAGAGAATTGAATTTCTCACGTAAAATCTTTCCAAGCCAAACTATGAAGGGGTTAGTAGTCCCTGTGGCATCATAGATGAATGTGATAGGAATATTTTACATGTTAATGGCCCCTTTAGCTATTGTTAGCTCTTTTGTGGTTTTTTTGAAAAATGGCTTAGATAATTCAAGAGGATATTCTAAGGCACCCCTCAGTATACTCTATGATTAGATATGAAATGTCATGAGAATTCACATCAAACAACATAACAGGGTAAGATATCTCTGTGACTAGAGGTCTTCAATATATGATAAGCAAAGTTTACAAAAAGAACCAATTGAAGTTAACTCTTTTCTGTATGCAGCCTCCACAAAGCAGGTTGAAAAAAATTCCCACAATTTCAAACCACATCCAGAGAGGCAGACATGAGGTAAGGAAAAGCTTCCTAACAATTAGAGCTATTCAGAAATGGAATAGGCTGTCTCTGGCGGTAATGGGCTCCCCCTTGCTAGAACTTTTAAACGGAAGGCTGTATGATAAGTTTGGAGAAGTATAGGAGAGATTATTGTTCAGATATTGATTGTATTAGATGACCTCTGAGGTCAACAAATTCAGTTTAGATGTTAATCACTTACTGTGTTGAAGAATACTGTGCTAGACACTGCAGATAAGTAGTCTCTGTTCACAAAGCTCTTACATAATATCTCTTTCAACTTTGAGCTTCTGTGTGATTCTGTGCTTCCAGTTTTCTGACAATGAAGATTACCCCATAGATAACCAGATCAGTCCTTGATAACTTATTACAGCAGTCCCAAACCAGATTTTTTTGAATAGACTTGTGGTTGACTAACTTCTCAGTATACTTGTGGAGTATGTAGGTCTTTTCCTATCTGTCAAATTTATTTTTTGTTGTTGCTCAGTTGTTTCAGTCATGTTTGACTATTCGTGACCCCATTTGGGATTTTCTTGGCAAAGATGCTAGAGTGGTTTGCCATTTCCTTCTCCATCTCATTTAACAGATGAGTCACTGAGGCCAAAAGGGTTAAGTTACTTGCCCAGGGTCATATAGCTAATAAATATCTGAGACCAGATTTGAACTCGCGAAGATGAGTCTTGACTTCAGGCCTGGCATTCTGTGTGCCGTGACACCTAGCTGCCCCAAATATATTTAGACCACAGATTAAAATACCCTGGTCATTCACATACCTATAGATGCCTTCTACTAGAATGAGGATTTTTTTCCATGCTCTTCGACTTCGAGGCTGACCATAGATCACAGCTTCTCTTAGTAGTTTCTCTAGACTTTGCATGTCTTTAAATAACAAGCAAAAAAGAAAGTGACTGATGAGAGTGAGATGGATTTTTTTGTCCATTTTAGTTTCTAAGACTTCTTCGTTATTTTAGGTTCAAGCTAAAAAATGTTTTTTTCTGAGACTAATGTTAGAATCACATTGAAAAGACACATTATTCCACCTTTTAAATAGAGAATAAGCACAAGGAAGTAACAGTAGTGTTCTGTTATCAGTTTCTTCCTTGTAATAATGATATTGATGATAATAATATAATGCTCTAAGGTTTACAAAGTATTCTTTACATATATAGTGTCTCATTTGATAAGATTTGCATTTACTTGGAATGCTTCTCCTTAGCCAACATCTTCCTATTCCATGGATTAGTGCTGGAAATCCTATAATTAGGGATTTATTCCATTGTCTTTCTAGCCTTCATCTCTCGCCCAAATACCAGTCCAGCCTTACCAATTGCCTACTGGACATCACCACCTGGATTTCTCAACAGTATCTGAAACTCAACATGTTTATTATCTTCTCCATCTAATCCCATATTTAATTATTCCTGTTGAAACCACTGCCTCCTTCCTAGTCACCACCATCATTTTTTAACCTTAGGGTTATCCTTGATTCTTTTCTTTCTTTTCCCACTTCCCTCTAATTCAGTCAGTTGCCAAGTCTTGTTATTTCTACTCTATGACATCTTCCGTATCTTTTCCATTTTCTTCACTTATGAGACCAGGCCTTTATGAACTCTCATCCCATTTATTTATACTGTGTTCTCTCCAAATTGATTTGCTAGATGTATCCCATCTTCCACCTTTTTGTCTTTGCATAGGTTGGCCTCTAGACCTGGAATACGTTTCCTCATCTCTTCTGCCTCTTATAAGGCCTCATTTACGATAATAATAGTTAACATCCTCTGTACTATCCTCTGCACTTTAAATTAATCACGCCTTGTCAAATTATTCTGATTGCCTTCTTTGCTATTTTCATGAGCTGCTGAATAGAACTGGAAAAAAATCACAAAAATAAATTTATGCTACATAACAACAACTAGGCTGTCCCTCACAATAGCAAGGCAGTACTTTTCACCTCGTTAGTTAATTCGCTATCTCATTCAAGAACAGTGACTTTTCCAGACATTCTCATCTCTTTTCAGTCTCCTCACAGTACTCCTTCCTTTGCCTGAGTACCTTTTATCATAACTGCACCAAAAAAATTGAGGCCATTTGCTTAAAGTTCTTATTCCCCTACTCCACCTACTCACATGACTCAGAGATCTTCCCTTTCTATCTCCTACTTCATCCTTGTCTCACAAGAAGGGGTGACCTTTTGCCTTACCAACATAAACCCTTTAATTTGCAATCTTGATTCTCTCTCCTCCCATTTCTCAAACTGAATGTCCATCCTATTAACCCTGCTCTCTTATCTTTGATCTCTCTTTATGGATTGACTCCATTCCTGTTGCCTACATAATGTCCTTCATCCTAAAAAAAACCCCAAAACCAAAAACCAAAAAACAGAAAACCCTTCATTTGGTCTGATCAGTTCCATTTTGCTCAACTCCTTAAGAAGGTCATTCACTAGGTGCCTTCATTTCCACTACTTTGTGTCCTTTGACCTTTGTACCTCTCTACTTTCTAGATTTTCGTGCTTTCTCCTGGTTCTCCTCCTACATTTTTGACTACTCTTTCTCACTTGCCTTGCCTGGATCTTAAAATGAGCTGAAGAAGGAAATGGTAAACCACTCCAGTATCTTTTCCAAGAAAACCCCAAATGGAGTAAGGAAGAATCGGACATGACTCATTGAAGGGATTAGACAACAATAGAAACAACAAACTCAGGTCTTATTTATTAACTGTGTTTTTACCCCCCAAGGGTATGTCCTGAGCCCTCTTCTCTTCTTTCTCTATGCTGTCTTGTTTGATGATCTCATCAGCTCCCATGGGTTTAATTATTATATATGCTACTCATTCTTCGCCCTATTATATCCAGCCTTAGTATTTGTCCTGACCTTTAGGCCAGAATTACCAGTTACCTTTTGGATGACTCTAAATGGATGTCCCATGGTATCTCAAATGCTGCATGTCTTAAAAAGAACACATTTTTCTTCACTTCAAAAACTCTCTTCTTTGTAGCTTCTCCCTTATTGTTAAGGGTATCACCTTCTCCTAGTAACTCAGGCTTACATCCTAGGTATGTATCATCCTTGACTCTTCATTTGAACTCACTCTAAATATCAATTCTGTTGCCAAGTTTTATTGTTTTTATCTTTGCAACATCTTTCATGTAAGTTCCTTCTCTTTACTCATGTAACTGCTGCTCTAGAGTAGTTTCACATGATCTCATGTCTGAACTATTGCTAGCCTTCTGGTTGGTTTCATTTCCTCAAATTACCCTCTACTCTAAGAAGTGATTTTCTTAAAGTCAAAATCTGACCATTTACCAACTTCAGTGATTCTTTTCCCTCTAGAATGACATATAAAAACTCTTCACAACCTTTCCTTACTTTTTCAGTCTTCTTGTACTTCACTCCCTTCCACATAATCTCTTGTCCAGGTACACCAATCTACTTGCTATTCCTTGTATACAGCAGTCCAGCTTCCAATTCTGTGCCTTTTCACTGGCTTTCTCTTAAGCCTGGAATTCTCATCATTTTCAGCTGTCTTTTATCTTGGTGGTACAATGGATAGAGCACTGGGCTTGGAGTCAGGAAGAACTGAATTCAGATCCGACCTCAGATGCTTACTAACTGTGTGACCCTAGGCAAGTCACTAAACCTTTGTCTGTCTCAGTTTCTTCAACTGTAAAACAGAGATAAATAGTGGCATCTTATCTCCCAGAGTAGTTGTGAAGATTAAATGAGATATTATTTGTAAAGCTTAGCATAGTGCCCAGCACGTAGAAGGCACTTAATAAATTCTTCCCTCCCTTTCATTTCCTATATTCCCTCCTGGTTTCCCTGGATTCTTTCAGACTTCAGTCCAGGTACCACCTTCTGTCCTATACCCCTCATCCTTTTTCCCCACCTACTGCCCCTCAAGCAGTACTTTCCTTTTGAGATTACCTTCATTTACACTTGTATTTCTTGTATGTAGTAGTTGTATGCATGTTATCTCCTCCAATAGAATAATAACTTCTCGAGGGTAGGGACTGTGTTTTTGTCTTATTATTATTTTTTTTATCCCCAGCACTTAGCACAATTCTTGGCATAATAATAATAAGTGCTCAATAAATGCCTTTGGACTGAGTTGTTATCTGATTTTTGAGTGTAAGGACTTCAGAGTTGTTCTTATTTGCTTTGCTCTTATTACTAATGATTTGGAGCAATCTTTCATCTTTAATAATTTGTAATTATTTTGAGAACTTTTTGTTCATATCCTTTTTGATCAGCTTACACGTTTGGGAATAACTTTTGATCTTTTACATATTTTTTCATTCCCTGTATATCTTAAATATCAGATCCTTATCAAAGATATTTGCTGCCAAGATTTTTTTTCCCCAACCAGCTGCTTCCAATCTTATACTATCTTATCTTGCATTATTTTGTTCATGGAAATGCTTTCCAGCTTTACCTAATTATAGTTAAACTTTATTCAGTCAACTCTACTGCCTCCTTGTTATCCCTCAGATATAATATAACTTCTTTGTTTAGCTTTTAAGTTCATCCCAACCTGATACCAAACTATCTTTCCAGATTCATTATACGTTATTCTCCCTCTCTCGTAGTCTATTATCCAGCTAAAGAGATGTTCTCTGTCTTCCTTACACACAACAATCCATCTTTCCCAGTGCCTGAAATGCACTCTATCCTCAACTCTGCATCACAGAATCCCTTTCTTCAAGATGCATTTCATACACCATCTTCTATATAAAACCTTTTCTGATCCTTCCAACTGCTAGTGCCCTTCCTACCAAACTATCTTGTATTTAACTACCTTCTATTTATTTGTATTTATTATTTTTACATTTACTCTTTATGTATTTATTTATGAGTGTTTTATTCCCTAATAGAATATAAATTCCTTGTGAGTAAGTATTCTTTCATTCTTCTTATTTGTATCCCTAGCACTGTACCAAGCATATATTAGATACTTAATAAATACTTGTTGATTGATTGTTAACATGGAAACATAAGCAGAGACATATAGAGAAATTCACTAAGGAATACTAGACTCCTATAGCTGTGCTACTGTGCCACAAAGAGGTTCCACTTAGCTCATTATCTTTCCCCTCCTTTTTTAAAAATTAATTTATTTTTAGTTTTCAACATTCATTTCCACAAGATTTTGAGTTCCAATTTTTCTTCCCATCTCTCCCCTCCTCCAACCCCAAGACAGCATGCATTCTGAATACCCCTTCCCCTGATCTGCCCTCTCTTCTATCACCACCACCACCCCCTTCTCTTATCCCCTCCCCCTTCTATTTTCCTGTAGGACAGGATAGATTTCTATACTCCATTGCCTGTATATCTTATTTCCCAGTTGCATGTAAAAACAATTTTTAACATTTGTTTTTAAAACTTTGGGTTCCAAATTGTCTCCCTTCCTCCTTGCCCACCCACCGTCATTGAGAAGGCAAGCAGCTTTATACAGGTTATGCATGTGTAGTCATGCAAAACACTTACATAATAGTCATGTTGTGAATAACTATATTACCTTTCATCCTGTCCCATCCCCCCATTTATTCTATTCTCTCCTTTAACCCTGTCTCTCCTCAAAAGAGTTTGCTTCTGATTACCCCCACCCCCAATCTGCCCTCCCTTCTATCATTTCCACCCTTATCTCCCTCCTCCCTATTTTTCTGTAGGGTAAGATAGATTTCCATACCCAAATGAGTATATATGTTATTCCCTCCTTAAGCCAAATCCGATGAGAATATGATTCATTCATTCTCTACTACCTCCCTTTTCTTCCCTCCACGATAAAAGCTTTTTCTTTCCTCTTTTATGTGAGATAATTTATACCATTCTATCTCTCCCTTTCTCCTTCTCCCAGTACAATCCTCTCTCACTCCTTAA